AACAAAACATTCAATATTTCGTATCGTTGATACAAACAAAAACGTCGTCGTTGTTAGTTCTTAGTTTGGTGTGCTTTACTACCTAAAGCAAAGATCGCAATATTATTCTCTTTGTTTGGTCTGCCCGCTTTAATATTGCATTGGATAAATCTCATATTGCCGCAAGTATTTCTTCTAGTTGTGATATCGTTCACAATATGGCATTGCTCCCTATTGATATTGATATTTTTGAGGGAGATTTTTCTTCTTGGCCTTCCTTTCGGGATATGTTTAGCGCCATTGAGCGAGAGTTATTTATCTCTCGCTTGAGTGATGTGCAGCGCTTGTATTACTTTCTGTAAAAGACTGCTGGTGATGCAAGGGAAATAGTTTCGCAATTTCCTTTAAAAAATCGTGGTTTTGCTTTCGCTTGGAAAGCATTAAATGATGAGTATGACAATACTCGTATATTGGTATATCGTCAGGTGTCTTCGTTATTTAGTCTTCCAATTCTAGATAAGGAAACAATATCTGGTTTGAAAGAGATTAGAATTGGAATAAATCGTTGTATCTCCTCCATGTCGACTTATAACGTTCCAACAGACCAATGGGATCCGATGCTTGTCTTTCTTTGCCTACAACGTTTACCTAAAGAAACGCAACTGCTGTGGGAAAAAGGTATCAAAAACAAATCGGCTCTTTCTTCGTGGATAGATTTAGACACCTTTCTTACAGAAATATTCCAAACACACAAGCGTGTTTATGTGTTTGGAATATCATAGCGACAAATCGATTCCTTCGCCTAATTCAACTTCGGTTAATACTGCTAGGAATTCTCATTCCAAATGTTCATCTTCCCCTTCAATTGGAAAATCATGTCCTCTTTGTCGAGAGAAATGCCATCGACTTCATTTGTGTTCAAAATTTAAAAATTTGTCCCCCGCAAATAGATTTGCATTCGTAAAGCGCCACGACCATTGCATAAATTGTTTGGTAAAGGGATATAAACTAGTAAATTGTACTAGTCAGAAAAGTTGTTTAAAGTGTGGTCAACGGCATCACACGTTATTACATCCCGAGTCATTAAAACCAAATAGTTCGTTTCCGGGTCTGACTCGTCAAGCGCAGCAAAATCGTTGTTATCAGCTTCAGCCCCAATTTTTCGTCGCTCGAAACTTATATCTTCCACAACGGTTTGAGTCGAAAATCCAAAATCTGAATTTGTTCGTTCGAAATCGCTGTACAAAATGTCGAAGAGGAACCTGATTAAATTCATACAAACAAATTTATCGCAGATTAATCTGCGGCATTATATTATCGTTGTAGCGGAGATGGAGCCCGAATCCGTTACTGCAGATTCATCTGTGTTTCCATTTCATACATTTTGTTAGAAAAAAGCTCACACTGCACTATACCACCCGTACCTACTACTAGAACTAATTTAAATTAAGTTAATTGTGTTGAAACATGCTTTGATGTTTCAAGGGGGTCGGCATGTTTAATTTAGAATTGCATTAAAAATTGGTTTTTATTGACCCTTGGTTCGGTCCTTAATTAGTCGTTCGTACGCGCTACGTTGTTAACACAACCTTTATTTATGAATTTCCAAAACCGACTGTAATGGATTTACAATTTTGATTCTTAATGACATTTACCTAAACTTCCAAACTGCTTAATCTGCATTTCCCACCATCAGCTCACTCATGCACCTGAGGATACAAATTTCATTTGGACTTCTTGCTGTCTGTGTGGATCATATTTCGTCTGGCAACATCATTCGACAATTTAATGTTGCTAAATCGGCAGATTTAGCATTGGCACGTTTGGTTGGTTTGACTTTGTGTTGTTTGTTAAAAATGCATTATGTTCCGGCCGTTAACTCCTCCCCCTCTAAGTTCATGCGTCCTCGCATGATAAGTCATATATTAGAAGAGTGGAAGGTGGTGAATCTTCTTACTGTTAGGACCTCTTAATGGTAATGATAGGTTCGATTTTGAATGGGTGCTTAGTTGAGCATTTTCCAAAATTTATATTTCCTGCTCTGCATTAGAGGACTCTGGTTTACTTTTTATTTTCATTTTTGGGAGTTTTATTCCTTTTCCTTCTTTTTGTTAAGTAGATGATGGTAGCCAAAATTATAAAGATTATTAGCAATCCAATGTTGATGGAAAGGTTTATTTTATTTTCGATTTTTAGTCTATCGATTAGTGGGTATTGTTAACATTTACTGCTTCCATTCTTTCCAAAGTTATCACTTGTTCCTGAATACTGGAACTACTTGGCTGCAATAGGGCAGGCAGAGCTTCCAAAAGCTCCTCAAAATTCCTACAAATACCTTCCTCCTTGAGACATCTCAAAATTTCGGCCAATGTTGAGTGAAATCTTTCGATTTGGCCATTGGCTTCACTTTTGTATGGTGGAGTTGTAAACACCTCTATTCCCAATTCATCTTTCATCATAAAAAGTATGGTTGCAGAATTCAATGATTTTTCGTTGTCCATGACAACCGTTTTGGGAACTCCATAGAAAAACAGAATATCTCTCAAAGGTCTCCTAATATCCTCTATTGATTTTCCTTGGAGAATCTTGGTTTGAGCGTATTTCGAGAACTTATCTATGGCCGTCAAAACTAAATTTCTATCTGTTGAGAAAATATCAATATGAATAACCTGACCTGGGTAGTTTGGTATTGGTGTGGCATTCAGTCTTGGTTGACTTGGATGCCTGTCGTATTTATTTCTTTTGCATGTGGAGCACAATTTTAATATTCTTTTAATTTTAGAAAACATACTGGGAAAATATGCTTTTTCCAATATTTGCATTTTATTTTCTACAGCATTTCTATGCGCACGATTATGAGTTTCTATTATAATCGTTTCTTGATCAGATTCCGACAAAATATCTTCTACAAAAAGTTGAGTAAAACGAATTTTAAAATTTACAAAATGATGTGGATAAATTTCTTGAATTTTTCCCATAATAAACTCTGGAGTTTTAAAGCAATTAATGACCGATGGGTTAAGGTATATTTTTAAAATTGAAATAAGTCTTTCAGTATCATATTCTGGTTCCGATATCGAATGTCTATGATATCCTGGAAAAATTATTTGAAAATTGTAATTTGGGGTGTCGTTGATTTCAAGAAAAATTTGATTTTTAAATGCATTTATTGGCACTTCAACACTAGGAATAAGTTTTTCTGGTGAGTTGTCGCTACTATGCACTGTTCCCGTTAAAGAGTTAATATTCGTTCCAGGGGGTCTAGAAAGTGCATCAGCCACAACATTACTTTTACCTGGTTTATATTTCATTTCATAATTGTATTCTTCCAGTATTGCTTTCCATCTTTTCATTTTCGCGTTGTTGTTTTTATTGCTCAAAGCATAAGTTAGCGGTTGATGGTCAGTGTAAATTATAACCTTAGCTGATCCATATAAATAGTTTCTTAAATGGGTTAAAGCCCAGATTATGGCTAACATCTCTTTTTCATTTGCCGCATAACTCTCTTCTGCTGTTGTTAGTGTTCTTGAAACGAAGGAAATAGGTCTGTCATCCTGGCTTAACACAGCTCCAATGGCAACATTGGATGCATCTGTCGTCAAATGGAATTCTTTCTGGAAATCGGGATATGACAAAATGACTTCCTGGGATATAAGGGCATTTTTCAAATTGTCAATAGCTTGTTTCGCTTCATTGTCCATTTTTATTTTCGTAAGAGTTTCGTAAGTGGCTTTGCTATGTTTGCATATCCTTTTATGAATCTTCGGTAGTATCCCGAAAGACCAAGAAAAGATCGAAGTTCCTTTACATTATTAGGATAAGGGAAATCCACGATAGCCTGAACTTTCTTTGGGTTAGCTTTTATACCGTTATGTGAAACAATAAACCCAAGGAATTCCACTTCTTCTTTGAGAAACTCGCATTTGTCGAGTTGTACTTTCATATTTGCACTATTAAGTGTTTCAAAAATGGCTTCTAGATCCTTAAAATGTGAATCTTCGTCTTTGCTAAAGATAATAATATCATCGATATAAACAAAGCATCTCTTACCTATGTGTTCCCTTAAAATGTCGTCTAAAGTACGTTGGAATATCGATGGCGCGTTTTTAAGTCCGAACGGTAACCTCAAGAATTCGTATTTTCCATTAATTACAGAAAATGCAGTTTTTCTACATCTTCCATCCTAAGGGGTATTTGGTGGAAACCACTCTTTAAGTCGATAACTGTAAAATATTTATTTCCTCCCAAATGAGAAAGAACGTCATTTATCTCGGGAATTGGATACCTATCTGCGATAGTTACTGTATTAAGTTTTCTAAAGTCCACAACAACTCTAAATTTGTCTTTTCCGGATGCATCTTGTTTTTTTGGAACAATCCAAATTCGTGAATTATAGGGAGAACGAGATGGTCGGATTATTTGATCTTTTAATAACTTAGATATTTCTTCGTCAACAATACTCCTTAAAGCCATTGGATAGGGGTAATTTTTTGAATAAACGGGAGTTTTAGTTGTTGTTCTTATCTCGCCTACGACCCTAGTCGTGTACGTAAGGCTTTCGTCAGGGTCTGCAAATAAACTCTTGTGCCGATTGACGATGCTCTCCAATAACTTCTTCTTATATTGCGAAAGATGGTTTGTCCTAATTTCGATATTGTTTACGCTCTGAGAAATGTACTGTTTAATTGGGACTTTTCTACCTCCCTTAACGGTGAAATAATCCTCGGCTGTATGAATCACAGCTGAGAATTCTTTTAAGCTATCGTTTCCTAATATTGCATCAAATGTTTCTAATTCTGGTAGAAGAAAAAAATTTGTGGGATTATTATCAAACTATTTTATAAATTTATGCTGTGTTATTTCGATGTCACCCTTAATGGACTTTGCTTTAATATTTCTTTCGTTTTTTTTTCGGACTTTTTATAAATTTTGGGTTAATGTAGTTTTTATTGCTGCCAGTATCTAGTAATATTTTTAATTTTTTGTCGTTCCCCATTTTTGCTTCGAAATATGGTAACAGTTTAATCTAAAAAATTAACAGCAGGCTGAACATCATTAGTTTCTTCTTCTTTCTTTTCGAGCGTTGTTACTTCCTCAGGAATTTGACGAAAGTAATCAGCATCATATTCAAAATCCACGTTCTGGTTATGATGGCTCATATTACCATCTTCCGGCCGATAGTAATCATAGAAGGTTTCCTTCGGAGTACAATCAGCATTTATATTGAAATTTCGCTGAAATTTACTCACTGGAATTTGAAAAGATGTTGCTGGTCTTTTTACTGCTAAATTGTTAGGTGGTCTGTTCATGTAATCGACCTGGCAGGTTTGGATTGAATTATCTACATCCATGGGCTCTGGTCGCCGATTTTGAAGATTATTTGTGAAAGCTGAATTCCTTCTAAAGTTTTCAGGAACGTTACGGTTGTGATTGAAACTAATATTACTATTGAGATTTGGATTAACGTTAGGATGAAAGTTTGGGTTGTGGTTTAAATTTTGATTGCGACTTAAAGTCGGATTAAAATTCAAATGATTGTTTGGGTTACGGTTAAAGTTTGGGATAATATTACGTCTAGGTGGAAGAGGTGGTGTCAAGGACGGTGTTCCACCAACATAGGCAAGTTCGGGATAAAATATTCTCCCATTTGTAAAAGTCGCCGCACCGATCTTATCCTTTTGTACATTATTTCTGATGGATTGTCCATGGGCATAATTTCTCCTAAATGTCATATTGTCCAACTTTAGACAAATATGTAATTCTGTGGCAAGGATGTTGGTTCGCGTACGTTTAATAATTTCGGCAAATCTCCATTCAAACCCCTTACACACGTATCTAATGCTTTTTCCCTGTAGATGTTTGTCATGGCGTGAAGGCTACTTTCTTCCTGATCTAGGAAGGAGACTTTGTCAAGTAATAGAGAAAGGTGCTGGTAAACGGCTTGATAAAATTCTGTTATACTCCTATTACCTTGACACAATATCATCATCTGGTATTCCAGCGTTCCAATGTCCCTTTTGTCCGAATAATGCATTGAAAGACACTTTTTAATGCGTGACCAATCTAGTGGTGTCCGATACGACTCTAAGGCGGTATCTGCATCACCTACGATTTTAGTGCGAATTGTATGAAGAATTGCGTAGTATCTTCCAGTTCCTTTTACCGAGTCATAGAGCTTCAAAACTCTTTCTACGGACTTTCGCCAAGAGTTAAACTCTCCCGGCCTACCAGAAAACTCTCTCAGGGACCAAACTATGTCGGGAACCTTATCTAATTCTTCTAACCTTGCAGTGACTGTCCCTATGGGGTGATCAGCTCCCTCGTCAGCCAAATGATCAGACGATATCTGCAAAGCTTCTTTTATAATTAGAGATATCTGTTCCATTTGTAATGTGGTAAAACCCGTTGATGATCCTGTTGTTTGTACCGTTGGTTGGGTCATTGTCAGTGTTCTATTTAGTCTGTCCGTAAGATTATTGATCGTTTCGTCAGGCATTGTAATAAAAGGACAATTAGTTTTAAGGAATAAGGAAGCAAAACAATGAATATTTAAGTGCTACAAAAATTTTGTGTGATAAAAAAATTTTTGTACAATCTTAATTCTTTCTATTTCTTTTAATTTAAGCAAAATAATAACTTATTATTGTGATCTTACGCTAGTATCTGGAACATAGCTGGATATTTGTTGATTTCTGAGCGATTCCGATGTTGTTCTGTTTTCTTCTCGTTGATTGTTCAATAATTTTTGCTTCTCAGTGATTTTTTTGTTAGTTGTTTGTTTATTTTTGTCTTTATGTTTTTGTTTTTTCATTAACAGTTATTTATTTTTTGTATTTCTTTTATTTAATTTATAAATGTTCACTATATGGTTCTCTTTTCTTTATATTTTTTTCTTATCATTATTTTTTTTTTAAATTATAACTGTTTCTATATTTTTTTTCTTCAAATTTGATTTATTGTTTCCGTTTATTTTGTTGTTGCAAAATCGTCAGGCAAAATCCCATTATTGTTGTTTTTATAAAAACAACGTTTGTTTATGAGTGGAGAACGATGGTAATGTTTACCAGGGGGTAAGGCAGGGAATACCTAGGTTTCGGAAAGAGCCACCAATCCTCATCAGTTCCCTTGTTTCTTGTCTGGGATATTCTCCCCAGAAGTTATTTAAAAAATAACTTCTATGACAAAAAACATTTTTTACCCAAGTGACGAGATCGTAAGCTCAATAGAAGAGGAACAAAAGAATTACATAAAACTAAAATTCTTTTGGAAAATCTTCTAAATCTTACAACCGCACTTATAAACATTTACGTCTTTCTCCACTTGTTATGCTTTCGTTCAACCTGTACGAAGTAACATAACCATGTAAGTTTGTTTTGTCTGTTACAACAAAAACCCCTTCGTCGACCGTGCCTGTGTCTATTAATAGAACAGTGTTTGGCTTGCTTGTTTGGGATACCATAGTATTTTGTTGTTGCAAAATCGTCAGGCAAAATCCCATTATTGTTGTTTTTATAAAAACAACGTTTGTTTATTAGTGGAGAAAGATGGTAATGTTTACCAGGGGGTAAGGCAGGGAATACCTAGGTTTCGGAAAGAGCCACCAATCCTCATCAGTTCCCTTGTTTCTTGTCTGGGATATTCTCCCCAGAAGTTATTTAAAAAATAACTTCTATGACAAAAAACATTTTTTACCCAAGTGACGAGATCGTAAGCCCAACAGAAGAGGAACAAAAGAATTACATAAAACTAAAATTCTTTTGGAAAATCTTCTAAATCTTACAACCGCACTTATAACCATTTACATCTTTCTCCACTTGTTATGCTTTCGTTCAACCTGAACGAAGTAACATAACCATGTAAGTTTGTTTTGTCTGTTACAACAAAAACCCCTTCGTCGACCGTGCCTGTGACTATTAATAGAACAGTGTTTGGCTTGCTTGTTTGGGATACCATAGTATTTTGTTGTTGCAAAATCGTCAGGCAAAATCCCATTATTGTTGTTTTTATAAAAACAACGTTTGTTTATGAGTGGAGAACGATGGAAATGTTTACCAGGGGGTAAGGCAGGGAATACCTAGGTTTCGGAAAGAGCCACCAATCTTCATCAGTTCCCTTGTTTCTTGTCTGGGATATTGTCCCCAGAAGTTATTTAAAAAATAACTTCTATGACAAAAAACATTTTTTACCCAAGTGACGAGATCGTAAGCTCAATAGAAGAGGAACAAAAGAATTACATAAAACTAAAATTCTTTTGGAAAATCTTCTAAATCTTACAACCGCACTTATAAACATTTACGTTTTTCTCCACTTGTTATGCTTTCGTTCAACCTGTACGAAGTAACATAACCATGTAAGTTTGTTTTGTCTGTTACAACAAAAACCCCTTCGTCGACCGTGCCTTTGTCTATTAATAGAACAGTGTTTGGCTTGCTTGTTTGGGATACCATAGTATTTTGTTGTTGCAAAATCGTCAGGCAAAATCTCATTATTGTTGTTTTTATAAAAACAACGTTTGTTTATTAGTGGAGAACGATGGTAATGTTTACCAGGGGGTAAGGCAGGGAATACCTAGGTTTCGGAAAGAGCCACCAATCCTCATCAGTTCCCTTGTTTCTTGTCTGGGATATTCTCCCTAGAAGTTATTTAAAAAATAACTTCTATGACAAAAAACATTTTTTACCCAAGTGACGAGATCGTAAGCTCAACAGAAGAGGAACAAAAGAATTACATAAAACTAAAATTCTTTTGGAAAATCTTCTAAATCTTACAACCGCACTTATAACCATTTACATCTTTCTCCACTTGTTATGCTTTCGTTCAACCTGAACGAAGTAACATAACCATGTAAGTTTGTTTTGTCTGTTACAACAAAAACCCCTTCGTCGACCGTGCCTGTGTCTATTAATAGAACAGTGTTTGGCTTGCTTGTTTGGGATACCATAGTATTTTGTTGTTGCAAAATCGTCAGGCAAAATCCCATTATTGTTGTTTTTATAAAAACAACGTTTGTTTATGAGTGGAGAACGATGGTAATGTTTACCAGGGGGTAAGGCAGGGAATACCTAGGTTTCGGAAAGAGCCACCAATCCTCATCAGTTCCCTTGTTTCTTGTCTGGGATATTCTCCCCAGAAGTTATTTAAAAAATAACTTCTATGACAAAAAACATTTTTTACCCAAGTGACGAGATCGTAAGCTCAACAGAAGAGGAACAAAAGAATTACATAAAACTAAAATTCTTTTGGAAAATCTTCTAAATCTTACAACCGCACTTATAACCATTTACATCTTTCTCCACTTGTTATGCTTTCGTTCAACCTGAACGAAGTAACATAACCATATAAGTTTGTTTTGTCTGTTACAACAAAAACCCCTTCGTCGACCGTGCCTGTGTCTATTAATAGAACAGTGTTTGGCTTGCTTGTTTGGGATACCATAGTATTTTGTTGTTGCAAAATCGTCAGGCAAAATCCCATTATTGTTGTTTTTATAAAAACAACGTTTGTTTATTAGTGGAGAACGATGGTAATGTTTACCAGAGGGTAAGGCAGGGAATACCTAGGTTTCGGAAAGAGCCACCAATCCTCATCAGTTCCCTTGTTTCTTGTCTGGGATATTCTCCCCAGAAGTTATTTAAAAAATAACTTCTATGACAAAAAACATTTTTTACCCAAGTGACGAGATCGTAAGCTCAATAAAGAGGAACAAAAGAATTACGTTTATTTTTTCTTATCATTTTTATATTATTAATCACACTCGAATATTTATTATTTCATTTTTTTTATCAATTAAGTTTTGATTTACCTTGAATTTATTCTTTAATTTATTGTTTTCATTTATTTTTTCAGCATTTATTTTTAATTTTTTTTGTTATTTTAAAACGTTTCTATTTTCCCTTTATTTTTGTATGTTTCTTAAAGATTTCTTTTTTTTCACTTTGTACAAAACTGTATCTTTTAATTTTTAATATTTTCTATTTGTTCACTTAAATTTTGTTTTATTATTCACTTTGTAGAAAACTGTTTCTTTTATTTCTTTTATAATTCTTTTTGTTCACTTTTGCCTAAGTTCCTTACACTACATCACGGCCGCTGATCTATTTTAAGATCTCCGGTTTACCTCTTATTTTCCGAAGAGGTTACTAGGGCGTGATACGTGATTTATTAATTTTTTTCCGGAAAACCCTTTATATATATATATATATATATATATATATATATATATATATATATTTATATATATATATATATATATATATATATATATATATATATATATATATATATATATATATATATATATATATATTTATATATATATATATATATATATATATATATATATATATATATATATGTATGAAATTTGTATCCTCAGGTGCATGAGTGAGCTGATGGTGGGAAATGCAGATTAAGCAGTTTGGAAGTTAGGTAGTTGTCATTAAGAATCAAAATTGAATCAATTAAATTCATTGCAGTCGGTTTTGAAAATTCATAAATAAAGGTTGTGTTAACAAACATAAAAAATATATATATTTTTTTTAATCTTTAAACATTTAAAAACTTAATTGGCGACCGAGCAGGGACCCTTAAAAAAGGTCCTTATTCGTAAAAAAAAACCCTAGGGAAAAGGGTTTTCCGGAAAAAAATTAATAAATCACGTATCACGCCCTAGTAACCTCTTCGGAAAATAAGAGGTAAACCGGAGATCTTAAAATAGATCAGCGGCCGTGAT